TTTTTTTTTCAATTATTTGATTATTTACTTATTCCATTAGTTGACCGATAAAATAAAATATCGTTCTTTTAACAATAAATGAAGTTTTCACAATAGCTAGTCATGAACTATATACAGAGTATTATACTACTGTGATTCTCCTGTGCCTTCATTTAATTATTTAATTATTTGATCATTTACTTATTTTATTCGATTTCATTTCATTGACTATTACTCGCATGACTTTCTGGTTATCTGATTATCAAAATTCGATGTCAGTCGTTACGATTTAAACTAAAAAGCTGACGATTACAAATTATAACTATCATTCCAATGAAATACGATTTAAATTGCAAAGAGATCGTTAAATTCTGATATTTTTGAATTCTAGAGCGATGTAGTGCAGAAATACTTTTTATTAGGCCGTTTGTACTTTTTAATTATTTCCGAGTAAACATCAACGAGTGATGAATACGAGATATTCGCGGTTGATAGTTCACGGGGAACGGGATTACGAACGTTTTATTGAACGGAACAAGTGGGACGACGGATCTGCCCTAAGTGCTCGTCATCGACGACAAATTGCATCGGATCGTGAAACGTCCTTCGTCGATGGTAATTTCGCACGGTGAGCGCGCGCCGAAAACCTGTTTTAAATTGAAACCCGGATCGAACAAGAAATCTGTCCCTATTATCAGCTAGAGAAACGAGAAAAAGAGAGAAAGAACTCTCCCTCTTTGCTCTCTCTGCTTGATTTCAATTAATTTTCGAAATCAATTCTCTCCTTATTTGTTTGTTGTGAAAGATGATTTTTGCACGATTGTGCAAGTGAAATTAACCTTTCGAGGTGATTGAAATTCTTCTTCAATTACGATATTGTAACTAACGACTATTTGAATTCTTCTATTTTAAAGAATCCATTATATTTTCTTCCGAGATTAGTCCTTCAAATGGTTTCGTTGTTCGTCTTCCAGGACACGATCAGCAGAAATAAGTAAATAAGCGATATGAATAAAGATAGTGCAAGTAAATAGTGAAAGTAGTTGGTACTACCACCCACGTATGTACAGAAATTAAAAATCAAGTTCATGTAGTATTATAAACTGACCAGTCGCGAAATGAAATTTTTAAATTCAACCAAAATTCTCCCCCCCCCCTGTTCTCTAAAAAAGAAAAGACAAAGGGAAATCGGCCAAATATTAAATAATCCGCAGAACAGAGCCAGCACTATGTGTTGGGCATATTAAAAGCAGCGTTGTTCGAAGCCAGATCCTCCAAGCCTGGTTCACCCTTCTTAGTTCCCCTTTGTACGCAAAACCGCGAAGCGAAACGATACGTATTCAAGGCGGTAAAGGGAGGAGGGGAGAAGCTGGAGAGGATATGAAGAGGGTGGCGTGAGTTGAATGCAGGACAGATTACCAGGCCACCCCTACGGAGCGCGATTCGGCTTTGCGAAAAGGGGGTGGCAGCTTGACTAACGGACGACGGTTGTCGCGCGGCTCTGGATAAACGCTCGTGTAATCCTTTCCAAATGGACATACGCGCCGCTTGCCAAACATTTCACCTTGAATAACACCCGGCGTTTCATATCACCGGCGTGATAATTATTTCACCGCTGCTCCGTGGAATATTATTAAATCTCGCGATTATATATATATATTACTGAGTTACCACAAGTAAGGATAGTAGAGCCTTTGGTCGCACTGCTTCCAATTGACAGTGAAATTATTATTCGTTCTTACTTCCTATTACTCTTCGAGTAATCTCCATACACGAAGTTTCTCTGTAGTGCAGCTTAAAGTTGGAATAATGGATCGAATTTTTGAATTATTGCACGTACGTCTCTCTTGTCCTTTGGACTTTTCTTGAAGATATATAACGAAATTATGTTTCTCACTTTCCACGAAGAATTGATAAATATATTACGATGATACATCAGTCATTTATATTTATTAGAATATTATAATTGATACTGTACACAGTATTAATTATAGCAATAGTATTATCACTAAAAAATTGTAAATGACTGAATTACTTATCTGTTGTTGGACTTTTTTTGAAAGACGTATAATCAAACTTATTTGTACGAAGAATTAGTGACATGATTATATGTAACAATTATTAATAATTTATATTTATTCGAATATTATAACTGATATTAAACACACAGTGAAAACGCACGATATCTCGGTTAAATTTTCTCTACGCCTCGGACGTAATGAACTCGCGTCGCAAAACGACGACAAGATTGAAATGTAAAAATTCGAGGAGCGCTGCGGGGTTAATAACACGTGCGAGTCGTCATTAAACCGCATCCTCGTGCCACCCACATAGGCGCGTTAAATGCATTCCGCGGAATGTTATCCGCCGCGTAATTATTTCGTCGCGCGTCCCTCTCCCTTTCTTTCCTTCGCGAAGCATCGTGATCTCCCCCCCCCCCCCACTGTTATGGCGACGACAGCGATCGAGCGAGCAGCAGAGTCTTCGTCGTCGACAAGCACGTGAAAAACGCGAGAGAGCCTTTTCATTTTCGCTGGCTCGGCTGGCGAGCAAAGAGAGAAAGCATCTGAGGGAGAAAAAGAAAAGACAGATGCCTGACCGATGCTAGGGGGTGGAAAGAGAAAGGGTGAAACGAACGGGAGACCTGAAACAAAAAAAAACGGATGGAAAAGAGCGACGAGCAGAAGGATAACGGTTTAGGGGCTGGGTTTCGTCGAGAGGCGAGGAGAGACAGGGTGGAAACGAGGGTGGTTTTTGAAGAACGAAGGGTGAGGTATTCGAACACTTAGCGTGGAAAAATTTTCTTTTCTTTCTTTCTTTCTTTTTTTTTTTATCATTATTTGTATTATTGAGTTTAACGCTCGTTAATGAAGAATGATAATAATAATAATAATAAGAAGAAGAAATTTTTTTCATACATCGTATATCTTGTATAACATTTCCAAACTGATCGGAACGTTGTGAAATTTGAAATTGAATGAGAAAGTTACAAAATGTTTAATTAGTACAAAGCGTGTATTAATATAATAATTATATATTAAAGATGGATTAAATGCTACTGTAGTACTTATATTAAAAAGCTTGCATCTATTATTTTGTAACTTTTACATATATATATATTTTAGATTTGTTCCGATATTATTGCTCTTTGTTTCAAAATATTATTACGGTGTTAATGACATTTTTAAACATTGTCAAACGTCCTGCAAGTGTTTCACGACATACTACGCTCAAAATATCACTAACTAGAGCAGTGGATTCCCTTTAGTAAAAACAACGAGAAATACTCCAGCTGAAAGTATGCATATTTATATTCCGTTGAAACAACCAAGTAAAACGAAAAACAACAAAACGAACAAAAATCCGCCGTGTCTTTGCTGCCTAGAAATTCGACCGGCAGCAAAAAACAAAAACAAGCTATCCAAAAATTACGACGTGCAAAAGATTCAAAAGCGGCGGATAACCAGTAAATCCGCGCGAGTCACGCGAAGCGCAAATTCGATTCACCCTCTAATGGTTAACCGCCATCGAAAAAAAAAAAAAAAAAAAAAAAAAAAAAAAACAAAAAAAAAAATTCATTCCTGCGCGTATTCATACAATCAACAAATCAAACAAATGTACGAGGAACATTTTCACTGAGGATCTTGATACTGCGTGTATCTCGATAAATTTTAATATCAATATTTCAACAAGTCTAAATGTAAAATCTTGAATCTTGATAATATTCTTATTAACATAAGCTCAAGAAAATACAACTGTTGCTAATGTTTCTCAATTCAATATAAATTGTTTCCAATGT